CGCCTGCCGCACGAAACAGAAGTTGTTGCAGGGTCTTAGTAGCGAGCTCCAAATCCGCCTCCTCCAGCGGTTGTGGTTGGGAGCCGAGTATCCTCGCGAGGATCAAGTTGTAGGTGTCCGAGGCCACCAGGACGTGGTTGCCGTCAGGTGCCAGCCCCACGATCCGTGTCCACGGCCGCGGGTCAAAGACCACCGCATCCGGGTTGGCGACCTTGTCCTTTTTGACCCATTCCAGGCAGCACGCCACGAGGATTTCCCCGTCCGACTGCACTGGTGCAAATCCAAGGTCATGCAAAATCAACTGGAGCGCGGTTGGCGCCCCTAGGAAGGTCGTCCCAAACGGGGAAGGGAGGCGGGGCCTCCACATCATCATGATCCACTCGAGCCGGGGGCCTAGTCCCTAGGTGCAAACCCCAACCAAACAACAGGGGGCCCCCCAAAACCCCGGAAAGTCAACCCCGAAACGGAGGAAACGGGGGAAAAAGGGGGACCCAGGGAGCCGCCCCGAAAAGGGAAAACCAAACAAGAGAGGGGAACCAAGGCGCACCCCGGATCAGCCCAAGCCGCGCCAATTTTCCTCGCCTGGTGCAAGTCTGGGCCTGCGCTGTTCCCTGGGGGGGGATATCAGCGCCTTCGGCAGCTGTCCCCCCCCCGGGGTGCGCTGCGCATCCGTTCCGGATGGCCGCGGTCCTGGATGGTGTGCCGGAAGATGGCGTTGTCCCGCATCATCACGCGGCCCCCTTCGCGATGTCATCGATGCGCTTGAGCGCAGCAGCCTCCGGATTCCGCAGAATCAGCTCCCAGATGGCATTGGAGACGTGGCCTGTCTGGGTGGTCTGGCTGAATCTGAACCTGGGCACCTTCTGGTCCACGATGGAGACGTCCCGCAACGGGGCCGAGGGCTCCACCCGGCGGTAGTACTCCAGCCGCTCCTTCACCCAGCGGTTGTAGAGGCCCTCCGGCGGCTCGTCCAACACCAGCTGCAAGATGGCCTTGCCGGCCCGGATCTGGAGGAGGCGGGTGCCCCCTCCCCCGGCACGCCAGTACCCCTTACAATACTTGCACATGTAGCCCCCCCGGGTCTCCCCTTTTGTCTTCGGGATGAGTTCCCACGGGGTGACGGAGCTCAGGACCAGGCCACACTCCATGTGCGCCCAGAAGACATGCTTCATCTCCACCGGATAGTTCTTCTTCCGGTAGTCCTTACCCACCACGCCGTGGACGTTGTCCGCCGTGATGGGGGGGTAAACGATCCCCTCATCGCCCTCGCCTCCCCTGGGGCGGATGTCAGGGCCATCGGCACCTGTCCGGCACCCAGGGGCGGAGGGGTCCAGGCCCATCAGGAGTCGGGGACTGCGCCGACCCACCACTGCTTCGTGTTGCAGCGCCAGTTGACCTTCACCTCCGCCAGGGCCCCCGGGCCTCCAATGCGGTCCATGAGGGCCTTGTACACCTCTGGGAACTGCTGGAGGCTCTCCACCGGGACCAAGATGCGCTCGTCGCATACCGCCCGCAGGATCATCTGCTCCTTGGAGTCCGCCACGTCCTGGACCGGGAGCTGCATCACCTCCGCCGGGGTGTCCGTGAGGAAGGCCCGGGCCGCGAGGACCTTGCCCATGGCCCGGTAGACCAATCGCCACTCCGGTCCTGTCTGCGGAAACGGAAGGCCCTCCTCCTTCAGGAAGCACCGCGCGTCCTCCTTCAGGGTCTCCCAGCCCTCAAGGCGGGTCTGATTCTGGGCCTTGTTTTTCGGGCCCCGCTGCCTAGGGCCCTGCAGCAGTGGCAGAGACTCCCAGACTCCCCAGAGCTGGCGCAGGGTGTAGCTGTGCCCGAACATCCCCAGTAGGCCTGGGAGTGTCCAGGACGAGATCTGGCGCGTCCAGTGGAAGTCCTCATCCGGATCGTGGGGGGCAGCCCAAAAGATGGATCGCAGGTCCCCAGGGTAGGGTCGGTCCCCCGCCTTCGCCTGCTGGTTCAACTCATCAACGGAGTACCTGGCCCAGGGGAGTCCACCCACCTGGTGGTTCCTGGGATGCGTACCCTTCTCCAACGCCTCCGGATTCACCTTGGTGAGGTTTTTCGCCCAATCCGGGACGTGTACCGGGCCCGGTCGTCGGACCCAGCGGCCCGCAAAGATACGGACCTCTCCGACCCGTTTGCTCATCATCCAGCGCAGGACCGAGAGCTGCACCTCCGGGTCCTTGGTGTCCAGGCCCACCGGGGTGGCGGACGGCTTGTCAGGGCCCTCGGCACCTGAGCTCGTCACGCCAGAGCCCGAGGCTGGGGGGATGGTGGGCGGCCTGTCAGGGCCCTCGGCACCTGGGCGCGCCGCACCAGAGCCCCCCGCCTTTGGCATGGGGATCCCTGTCAGGTCCGGCAGATCTGACAGGAGGGCCGCCGGGAAGGGATTCCTACCCAGCGAGATGACCGCCTTGGCCTCAAGGTAGGAGTCCGTGAGGGATGTGAGGTCGTCCATACTGAAGTCCCTCCATGCCGTTGTCGGCTCGAAGACCCCAGTCTCAATGGCGACCCGGACCTCACTAGGCCACGCACTGAAGGGAGGCGCGATGGGCTCGAGCATTCTGGTTTCGAGGGAGCCCTTCGCCTGTCTGGCTTGGTGTTTCGCTTTCGCCTCCTCCGCAGTGGTCTGGGCCTGGAGGAGCTCCGGTGTGGGTCTCCCCCAGTCCGCACCCAGCTTGTCCAGCAGCTTCTCACGGAAGAGGTCCAAGTCCAGGTTCTTCAGGAGCAGGCCTCCATCACCTCCTCCGTCAATGGCCCCCCCTTGAAGTTCGTGGAGGACCGCCGCGGAGCGCTCCACCGCTTCCACCTGGTCCGCCTTCTTGGCCTCCTCCTGGGCGATGGTGGTGGCGTTGAGCCGGGTCTGAATCTTGAAGGCCTTCACCGCAGACGGGTGGAAGGCTCTGCATTCCTGGCCCTCTTCCTTGTCGCCTGGCAATGGGGGCCTCTCCCCCGGTGGGGCCGTCAGAAACTCCTCGTCCAGCTCCATGGGGCAGTTCCTGATCACCGCCCGAGAAGCTGGCCTGGTCCGGGTTCTCGCAGGCCATCGGGTCGGTGGCCAGCTCGCTGACGTCCACCGAGGCACTGAGCTTGAGGTCGCGGGCCCGGTCCGTGTCAGGGCCTTCGGCACCCGCGGACCGGGCCGCCGTCCAGACCGCATTGCCCTGGTCATCCACCGTCAACTGCCAATGCGTGCCCGCCATCTCCAGGGTGGCCGAGTTGGTCGCCGTGTCAATGGGCTCCGTCTTCTTGCCGCACCCCATGCACTTCGTGGCGCCCTTCTTCACCCAGGGCATGGTGCAGCAGGGGCAGATCCAGGATGTGGGCACCTTGCCCAGGGGGCGGTTCTCCAGGCCCCCGTACCCCAAGCCAGCGCGCTTGCCAACCTGCTGTCCCGGGGTGCTGAGCCGGGCCTCATGCTCGTACTTCATCTTGGCGATGTAGAAGGCCTCCACAACGCGCTCCAGGCCCCCCTGCTTGAGTTGGGGGCCCTCAAAGCCTCGCAGGAGCCGCTGGACGTCCTTGGCCTGCAGTCGGCGGAGCCTAGTGGCCGTGGTCGCATCGAAGCAAGGGAAGTCGCCCGCCATCTGGTCGTCGCTGAACTGGTAGAGGCCCTCCGAGACCTTGAGGGCCTTGGTGAACACGCTCCCCCCCGGCGGGGGGGCTGCGGGGTTCTCATCCTCCTCCGAGGACGCCTGCTCCTTGACCTTCGCCATCAGCTCCCGGCGCCTCTGCCACTTGGCGTCTGCCCGGGCATCCAGGCGGGCCTCCTCCAAGCGGGCTGCAGCCGAGGGGAACCTGGGCATCGGCAGCTCCTTCTCGTCCTTCGCCAGGAGCTCCTCCATGGGCACGTCCTCCTCCGGCGGGTTCAGGAGCTCCAGGAACGCCCCTGGGGGGCGTGTCAGGGCCTTCGGCACCTGCGCCACCCCAGGGGCTGCATCTTCCATCGGCTCATCCTCTGCCTTGCGCTTGGCCGGGATAAGGGGGGCCTGCTCCAGCTCATCTGCGCTGGAGAAGAAACGCTCGTCAGGTGCCTGAGGGACCTCAGCAGCCAAAACGGTCCATCCTTCTTCCTCCCTCTTCACGAGGTTCGCCAGGTACTTTGCCATGGAGGCCTTTGCCTTAGCCTTGGCCTCTGCTACCGCGGCACCAGCGTAGGCGGGGGCGTACATGGCTTTGAGAGTAGGGGAAAGAAATATTTCAATTCACAAGACAAAAGATCAAAAGGTCCACTTGAGCCAAAATGGTGGCCCAAGTGGATACTTATTAAGAGTCAAGACAAGCGACCACCTACGGTTAACGCTTTAGCCCAACGTTTTTTGTTTTTGCTTTCTTTTATTAGGACCTTCTGAAGAAACGAATTCTGGGATTCATGTCCACCAACCTGTGTTGAAGTTCCTAGCCATATTTGTAATCCCTTTTGCGGGCGCCCTCAAACAAAAGCCCAGAAGTAGACCCGTCGGGTATCCCTAAGGGTGTGCGAACAAAGGGCCCTTCCCCCCCCTTCAGATTTGAGAGTTCCGAGCCTTTGCTCTGAGACGATTTATCCTTCTCAACCGCAGCCTTTGTACATTGAATCAACAAGAGGACATTGGGGGATCGGGTCTGCAAGCGTTCCGCCACTTGGAGTTCTTGGATTGGCGGTTTGGTGCCCGGGTCTTCCCACTTGGGGGGTGCAGCATCAGGCTCCCACCGTCCTGTCCTCCTCCCCACTAGTTCAATGAACAAATATGAAACCTGATCCACAACTGGCTGGGGGCAATCGATTTTCGCCAACAGAGATCATGAAAATATGGCTGTGGCTCAAAACACTGGTACTAAAATGGAACCTGGAAAGCCGAAGCGGTTTGCCCCTCCTGTAATCTTGAGCCACACCCATATGGGTATGATTTTTAATAAGAGACCCTTGGACATCATGGTGGGATTCATGTCCACCAGTCACTTTTGAGGTGGTTCCCTATGAAAATGCATGCCACCGGAGCCTGCGCACGGCGGCAGAGGCTCGCGTGGTCCATCCCGCCCTCCGCCTCCGCCTGTTGGCACGCACAGCGGGGGAGGCTCAATGCCTTTGTTGCAAACATAGCAAGAGAAGGTCTTTTGAGGACAGTTGTCCAAACAACAAACCTCCGGTCAGGTTGCATGTTCGTTGCTGAGAGAAATGTTGACCCAGCATTAATCAACCCGTCCCATTTTTAGGAAGAAAGTGATCAATCCCCACCAAAATGGGACACCCCCTATTAATCAACCAGGGGGTTATTGATCCGGGGTTAACATTAGAAGGGAAATTCCTTGGAACGCCGGCCATGAAGCCGTGGATGAACCCGCCCTTCAGCCCTTCGGCCCCCTGCCTGCGCCAGGTCCTCCGCCATGGCGAAGTGGGAGCCCAGCTTCAGGGCCGTGCCCCCGGCGCCCAGCGCGGTGCCCTCGGCTCGGCGCCAGCGAGCCGTGCCGACGGGCGCCAGCGAGCGAGCCCCGGGCCCTTTGAAAGGGCAACCCACGGGGCGTGAAGCATAATTTGGGGGCGGGGGGGTGGGGGGGGGGGGTGGGGGGGGGGTTGGGGGGGGGGAAGGGGGGGTTAACCAAAGTTGATGCCCCACCTCTTTCCAGCCGCAAACAGCGGTGTTGAGGCTGTTTGCGCCAAGACTCGTGCAAAAAGAAACATGTCTTGGGCCAACCCTGCGAGGGACCAAGGCACTGCCATGAACGATCTTGGGTTGCAGTGGTTCAAAGAGATTGAAGGTTGGGGACCAGTCTCAGTACCAACCATGAAAGCGGCAAAACCCCGCTGCTTCCGAATCTGCTTTGAAGATTGAAGAAAGGGACCTGCGAACAAGAACGTAGCAAAACCACGGGGAAACCAGCGGGGTGCATTGGGTAACTTCCTACAAAGAGCAGATGGGAATCCCGAGATCAAAGTAGACTTGTCGGTGGACAAGCACGTGCTTGGCAACTGTGAAATCTGACACCAGGTGTATCTCGAACATTCCGCTGTGAACAGTCCTCCAATGAGTCCATTGCAAGTGTTCTTCTGCAAGGTTCGAACATGTTCGAAATTGCGCGGGCATTGATCAAATCTGGGAATGCGTCAAACACACTAAAACGTGTTTGAACCGATGCTGGATGCAACAGCAGGCACCCTGTGCTTGTCTTGACCCACGGCCGCATAAAATTTCGTCCGGCGCCACCCTTCTCCCCTCCTCCCAGAAAGAAGAAAAACAAACAAAAACGCCGAGCTTCGGTGAGCACAGGGCAGACGATGATGGCCTGCTGGGGGCAGAAGAGGTGGTGCTGGTACCAGGACCCATCCAGGTGATAGCTCCTCGGCACCTGGCGGTGTTGCTCCATTTAAGCAAACCAACATGTCGAAGAATGATGGATTCCCTTCAAAAAAAACCACCAGGGGAAATAAAACAAAACGTACTCTCACTTGAGGCCTGGAATCTCACTTGAGGCCCCCGAAAGTCCGAAACCTTCCAGCAACACAGGTCCAGCTTGGGCTCTCCAAACCTAGGCTTCAAACGCTGAACCTGCCTCCACTCTGGCAGGTTCCACCTGGGCCAGGGCAGTGCTGAAACAACCTTCTTCCCAAACTGGCAGTAGCTGAAAAAGTGGAAACCGAATGGAACCAAAGACTCGAACCTGCGGTTTGCCCCAGCAGTCTGAATTTTGAGCCACACCCTACGTGGTCGCAAAGAGGTTGAAGGTCACACCGTTCTGCGCGGAACCCTGGGATATTTGGGCGCAAAACGAAACCTCTTCGACACATCCGCCATTTCCTTCTGCACGACCACCCAGCTCAACACATGCCCAAACTGCTCCCTATTTGCTCCGGGCTCCAATTGCTTCGACGGGGCTGCACTCACCCTTGCAAACGGAGATAGCCCATCACGAGCCACAAGAAGCCAAACTCCCTGGTAGACAAGAGACCCTCAATCTATGTGCCGGATCCCTGTCTGGCATGGAGACCGAAACCAACAAAAGCAGGAATAAAACATACGAAAGCAATCGCATTGTGCAGCTGCACATTGTCGTAGGAATCCAAAATCCAACCTTCTGAATGGTTTTTCGGCTTTCCGATCAATTTCAGGAGTTCCTGGGGTCCCACTTGGGAGAGCAGACTGACGCAAGGCGATGTACACCCTGCGAATCCCTTCGACGACAAAAACAAAACTGCGGAACATGGGAATGCATCGTGTACCTAAATGCAACACACGCGCAACTTTGTGCGAATGCGTATCGGATTCAACACATGCAAGCACACAGCTACAAGAACAAACCTGCAAGCACGACAGCAGAGTCACATTCCCTTTTGGCCATGGTTTGGTAAGGGAAGCGAAAAGGAAATGGCGCCCCACTTCCAGACCCACCAGCGCCGCTGTCCCTTTCTGCCGGGAGCCCCCGCCCCCTCGCGCCGGATCTTGGGCGCGGCCGGGAAGCGCAGGGGCGCCTAAAAGCGGCAACTTGCCATCTAAGAAGACCTTCTCCAAAGAAAGGAGTGGCTCACAATCAGGCACAGCGCACACTCCAAATGCCGACCTATAGATTCATGATGAAAGTGACGAACACCTGCAGGGAATGGTTCCACAGTGACATCTTGAAATCTGGCGCTTCACCCTGGTTGGCCTGAATATCCGGCTACGCTCTCATTTGATCACTTGCTCATTGTTGCAAAATCTCAGTGTCCTTGGTCGTTTGCTCCCTGAAAGACCGGCAGATTTGGCCATGGGTCAAAATCCAAATCGTCCCAGTGAACATCCCAACCCCCCCACTAAAACAGGAAGCCAAAAAAAACGGGTGGTGAAGTCACCGACCAATTCCAACCTGGGATCCATTTCAACGGTTTTGACCGACCGATCCTGTGCCAAAGGGCCCAGCCCAAGTCCTCTCCCATGCTCCACCGGCCCTCCCCTAGAAGGTCATCCAGCGCACCGCGCCTCAGCGCAGAGGTGCGGTAGAAAAAGCCAAGCACCGGAAATGCTCCGCAACGTCTTCCACTTCCAAAATGATTCTTCACAAAGACTGTTTCTGATCTGCTCGAGCGGATTAGACTCATGAGGAATCCAAGGCTTCGCGGCTTTTACGTCTGAGCCGTTGGCTCCACTCAATGGCTTCTCATGAAGTGAATTGAGGGAGTCCGAAGGTTTGGTCTCAAGGATGGAGCCAAAGTTGTTCCAATGTTGTTTGGCGTATGTTCCAAAATCTGCAATTGAAATCATTGTGGTGTTCAATGTGTTTGCCTCACTGCGGGGTTTCCCCCGATCCGTGCACGCACCTGTGCCAATGTGGACAACAAATCGAGCAACGGCTCGACCGCGCTTTGCAACCAAGAGACTGGTTCCACAGCAACGTTTCCCAGGAACTCACCAGGAGGCCTTTCTCCATTCTGGTCCCGCACTTTGCGCCTACCGAGGCGCAAGGGCGCACAGTTGCTCAGCAAGTCGCTGGGGATCTGCTGCTTCATCATCATGTCGCCTGCCAGGTGGTTCGAGCCCCCCGTGATCCCACTCACCCCCCCTGTCCAATCGAAACGCAAAGCCCGGCAGATTTGGCCAAAACAAAATCCACAGCCCGTACCAGTTGAACATCCGATTCAATCCAACCGTAGGAAGCCAATGGGTGCCGCTTCCGGAGCCCATGTCGCACATCAAGACCTTTTCGGCAGCACTTTTGCTGGGATGGCATGGCCGTCGTTCGCACGTGACGTCCAAACAGGTGCTGTCCGCAGGTGAGAAGGACCGCGAGGAAAAGAAAGGTGCCCTTGCGACGAGCCGAAAGGAAATGGCTGTGGTTGGTCAAAACCGTTTTGGGATCCCATTTTGGTTGGTAGGTGAGCCGCTAGAAGAAGCCGCCTCGCAGCAAGCGAGCTGCTGAGGACCCTCCACCTCTTGCCTCCAGTGCCTCAGGCGCCGCATGCGGATTTTTGCACCATCGGGGTGGGTCACAGCTGCTAAACACCAAGGGAGTAAGCTTCACAATGGATTAAATGTCCTTGTTCCCCTTAGTGTTTAGCTGCAGCTCAGTGCAGGCTTGCAGCTGAAAGCATGAAAATATGCCTGGCCGTCTTTTGGGGCTGCCGGGGATATTCTCTTGCTGCCCTCTCCAGAAAGAATCTTTGCCAAACGCCTGAGCTCATTGAATCCCCCTCCAAAGATCCAACAAGTCAGCCCCCCGCCTGTAGGAGGTCCGCCTCACTCGTCCTCAAAGCCATTCTCAAGCTACTCATCCGAATCCTCCCCCAACAAAACGCGCTCAATATCCGCGTCCAACTCAGCCCTCCGTGCTGGGGACAGTTCCGAAAGCGCCGACCCTGAAGAAGATGGAAGGCCCTGAGCTACGCCTCTCTGAAACGGAATGTCTCTGTTGGGCTGTGGATTCAGCGGCGTGTGATGCCCTGCCAGCCACTCCTTGAAAGATGCCGGCGCAGGCACATCTCCGGCCCTGCCTGCAGCGGTCAACATGGTTGCCAAAGAGTTGTTGAACTGCACTGTGTGGTGATGAGTGCCTCCCAGCACTTTCCTGCTGCTGTCCAATCCTTCTCGGAAGAGTTGCTCAGCTTCACCAATATTTCCCATGGCCTTGAAGATCGCACCCAGCTCATGCATACTCTCCAGCGTGTATGGATGTGTGTCACCAAGCTTCTCCCTTCGGGATTTCAAAGCCTGGCAACCCATCTGCTCGGCCTCTTTCAATTGGCCCTCCTGATGCAAGGATGCCGTGAGCAGGTGCATTGCCTTCAGTGTTTCTGGGTGCATGTTTCCCAACGCCCGAAGCTTCTCCTGAAACTCTGCTTTTCGCGCAGCGGACGCCGAGACTGTGGCCTGACTCGCAGCTTTTGGCCGCCCCCCGCTCATGTGGAAAAGCTGCTCAGCCTCATCGAAGCTGCCCCTGGCTTCCAGCACCATGGCCAGCTCCTGCATGGCCTGGAAAGTCGCCGGATGCCCCGGACCGTGCCGGCCTATGGCGGCCTTCAGCTTCTCCTTTGCAGCGTCTTCCTCCGAACGGCTGGGTTTTGTCCGACCCGTCCGCTCCAGAGCCGCAATCTTGCCCTCGCTCCCAATGTCTTGCAAGAGTCCCGTGAACTGCTTCTTGCATCGGACGGTGTCAGGGTGGTCATCGCCCACGCTTCGCTGAAGCCCCGTCAGAGCCTTGCGCAACAATGGCTCGGCATCATAGAGCTTGCCTTGTTCGTGCATGAGAACGGCAAGGGATGCCAAGCTCTTTGAAGCCTCGGGTTCCTTCCCTTGGCACTCTGCATAGATCTGCGTCAGGAGTGGTTCAGCATCGCCAAACCTGGCACGGCCTTGGTATCTCTCAGCCAATTCGGCCATACAATCCAATCTGCCAGCAATGCCTGACAGGGTTCGGCAATCCGGCTGTTCAAACATGTCACCGTTGGGGTGATAACACTATCAGATGATAGACTATCATGTTCAACCACTGTTTGAACACTTCGGTCATCAGGCCTGCGCTCCATAATTTCTGCAACCGTTTCTCCAAGACGTTCGCCAAAGCATCACCCTTCATCTTGGCATGTTGCACTTCTCCCCCGCCCTCAATGCGAATGACCCAGACATCTCGATTGCTGTGCACCTTCCTGCCCTTGTAGTCTTCACCCAAAGCAATGCGTCGCTTCCCATCAACCAAACGCCCGGAGATGTCGGGCGTCTGTCTCTCAAAGATGTTGTAAGCCATGTCCTTTGGCACAATCAGCGGGACGCAAAATGCGGCTCGATGGCCCTGTGGGTTCTTGTCGCCCCATTCTTCGTTCCTCTTGTTACTTTCTTCATCTCCGGTATTTGCTCGCAAGGGATCCCCATTGCTGTAGTTGTTCAGAAGCATGCGAATCCTCTCACGCCAAACAGCAGGCTCGTGTTGAGTGGCGTACACGCCCTTGCCGAAATGGGCGCGGTCGTCTACCAGGGAGGCAAAGAGTTCAGCTGCCGACTGGCTGCGGGCGGCCTCGTGGAACATGGCACAACATAGGGGTCTTGGAGAGGGCATAACTGGATCACACCCCAAGCCAATGAAACGCCATGGCACCACCATCTCGGACCAGGAAATCATGTGAGGAGCCCATTTTGCAGGGCTTCCAAAGTCTGGATGTGGGCCCAGCCAGGCGAAAGTCTGACTGGAAGGAGTGAATGCAAACAAACAAGCAAACCATCAAGCAAAAACAAACAAGCAAAAACAAGCAAGCAGGCAGGCAAACCAATAAGCCGCGCAGCTTGTCGCCGTGCGATGACAGAAAAAGACGGTCCCTCCCTTCACATTCACTTTGTGGCTCTTCTCCACTCGCCGCAAACTTTCCACACAAACATGGCGCCAGCCTTACGTTGCCCACGTTCTTGAAGCAAAGCCCATTAGTGTAGTGATAAAGAACCAGTGAAGAACGGGCAGACCGCAAAGTCCCACCGTTTTGATCGCACACATCCTCAAGATTGAACGCATGCTGCCACACTTGTACTGGACCATCCGGCGCATCAAATCGGAAAGTCGGGATCCCGTCAACTCTGTCCTTCAGCGTTGTGCAGCCATTACCTTCTCGTTGGGCTGGCTGGAGTGGACATGTCCAAAAAATTAAAACACGTGAAACAACCAATGTAACCTCCCTACAATCTCCAAATCCCAGTGATCTACCTGCACAAGGTTGGAACGCCCCCGTCCTTTTTGTAGACCTTGGATTCAAAGAGCTCACCATCCTTGTACCGTTCGACAAAATATCGCCAGAGGGCATTCTCCTTTGCAGACAGCACGACGCTGGCCATGGCGCCAATGAAAAGGTTCTGTGACCTGGCCAGCTGTCCTCAATCTTTGATTCCAACACATTGAGCACCTGCGTGTCTTAGGAACTTTCGCAGGCAAAATGCCTGAAACAACAGGCATTAACTCTCACCCTCCCTCTCACTTGCGCTGACTCTCGGCCCGTCTCCAGGAGCATTAGTGGCTGCATGATCACTCGTTGCATCGTACATGAGCCACATGAGCCGGCTGTGTGTAGACCCATCGTACTTGCGCCTCGTTTAGGCTCGGTGTCCTGAAAGGACAACGAGAAACCATCCCGCCTCACAGGCATGCTCCAGGTGCAAGAGCTCAGCGACTTTTTGATCACCGGGCTCCGGTTTGCACAGGCCAACGCATCCGAGGGCATCCCATTTGGAACCCATGTAACCATCGGTTCAAACAATGGGAAAACCAGAAGAACACCAGCCCAGGTTCCACGGCGCGAGGAGAAATGAAATTCCGCCAAAAGGAAAAAGCAAGCCCCCCCCCCCCCCCTCCCTTTTTCCCGGTGCGCGCGAGGGTTTTGGGTCGCTCGCCCCATTTCCTCCCCCTCTCCCCCCCATCCCCCTGCCTCGCTCCCAGGAACTGGGCTTCCCAGGCTCCACTCCCTCCAGCCGGCTCCACACCGCCTACCGAGCCCGAGACTTGTCTCGGACCGCGCTTCAGCCGCTTCCCTGCAACCAATCCCTTGGTTGGGATGCCTATCTACGAAGTTCCTCAGCCACCTTCCTCATTTTCAGCTTCTATTTTATTTTGTTCGCTGTTGCTTTATTGGGGGGATGGCTGTTTGGGTGTGTCAAAACATGGAAGCCGAAAAATAGATGTGTCCAGCAAGTGCAAAAAGGATACCGAGCCTCAAAAAAGGGAAACACACCCATTTGAGTATGACATAAAATGGGCTCAGGGCACTTTGCAATGTTTCGAAAATCTCAACCTTCTTCAAACAATGATGACACCTATAACAATTGCGAAACATACATAATCTGTGTCTATATTGGGATCCCCCTGTTGCTTGGATGCAAGAGGAATTCAAAGAAAAGTTCAGCCTGCTTGGAGCGGTCATACTCCGTTGTCCCAGTTCTCGAGCGTCTGGGAACCCAAAAGCCAAAGCACAGAGCAGTCCTGAGATGGGTTGATGTAAGGGAACAAGCCGCGGCTTCGGCGGAATCACGGTCCCCCAAAAGGAAAACCCTTGGCTCCGGAAGCTCTTAACGCGGTTTAGAAAAGACGGCGCCAACGTATGGAACCCACCAGGCCCGCGGAAATGCTCGTCTAAAAATCCGGTCAGGCTCCTCCGTCCGAAAACCTCGCCGACCCCTTCCCCTCCTCCGCCGCCGCATCGCAGGCGGCTTTGGCGAGAGCGCCCCGCACCTGACCCGGCGAAGTGGCGATCCAAAGAGCCCCACAAGAGCCTCACGGCATGGCGGCCCTCTGCGCCGAAAACCAGGGAGAAACTGCCCCCACTCACCCAAAGTCCAAAAAAAAATGCAGACGATACAGAAAAAAGCCCCTTCTGAAAGGAGCAGCTTCCCCACAAAAACAGCAGCGCCGGCATGATACAGAAAAAAGGGAAGCCCCTTCTGAAAGGAGCAGCTTCCCCACAAAAACAGCACCCCTTCTGAAAGGAGCAGCTTCCCAACAAAAACAGCAGCGCCGGCATGATACAGAAAAAAGGGAAGCCCCTTCTGAAAGGAAAGGAGCAGCTTCCCCACAAAAACAGCAGCGCCGGCATGATACAGAAAAAAGGGAAGCCCCTTCTGAAAGGAAAGGAGCAGCTTCCCCACAAAAACAGCAGCGCCGGCATGATACAGAAAAAAGGGAAGCCCCTTCTGAAAGGAGCAGCTTCCCCACAAAAACAGCACCCCTTCTGAAAGGAGCAGCTTCCCCACAAAAACAGCAGCGCCGGCATGATACAGAAAAAAGGGAAGCCCCTTCTGAAAGGAGCAGCTTCCCCACAAAAACAGCAGCGCCGGCATGACAGAAAAAAGGGAAGCCCCTTCTGAAAGGAGCAGCTTCCCCACAAAAACAGCAGCGCCGGCATGATACAGAAAAAAGGGAAGCCCCTTCTGAAAGGAGCAGCTTCCCCACAAAAACAGCAGCGCCGGCATGATACAGAAAAAAGGGAAGCCCCTTCTGAAAGGAGCAGCTTCCCCACAAAAACAGCAGCGCCGGCATGATACAGAAAAGCCCCTTCTGAAAGGAGCAGCTTCCCCACAAAAACAGCATCGCCGGCATGATACAGAAAAAAGGGAAGCCCCTTCTGAAAGGAGCAGCTTCCCCACAAAAACAGCAGCGCCGGCATGATACAGAAAAAAGGGAAGCCCCTTCTGAAAGGAGCAGCTTCCCCACAAAAACAGCAGCGCCGGCATGATACAGAAAAAAGGGAAGCCCCTTCTGAAAGGAGCAGCTTCCCCACAAAAACAGCAGCGCCGGCATGATACAGAAAAAAGGGAAGCCCCTTCTGAAAGGAGCAGCTTCCCCACAAAAACAGCACCCCTTCTGAAAGGAGCAGCTTCCCAACAAAAACAGCAGCGCCGGCATGATACAGAAAAAAGGGAAGCCCCTTCTGAAAGGAAAGGAGCAGCTTCCCCACAAAAACAGCAGCGCCGGCATGATACAGAAAAAGGGAAGCCCCTTCTGAAAGGAGCAGCTTTCCAACCAAAAACTGCATACGCGAGCGCCAAATTCACCCCGCCTTCACAAAGCCCGCCAGCGCGAAGCAGCGCCTCTCCGCCCCCGACAGCACCGCCCCGTTCTGCAGCCCCGCGGCGAGGCCCAGGACGTCCGCGGGGAACCCGTAGGCCATGGCGGGCAGGCGCACCCGGGTTTTCGCCGCTGGCACGCGCGGGAGGGTCGCGGGACCCCAAGTCTTGGCGTTGTTTGTTGTTTTTTTGTTTTCCCCTTATTTTTGTTTGTTTCTTTTTTTGTTTCCTTCCTTTGTTTCGTTGGTGATTTACAACTTCGCCTGGTTCACAAATGGGCCTCCAAGCGCCACTTCCGCTTTTCGAGGAGCAATCTGGCTTTCCTTTTTGGTTGGTCTTAGGGGACAGCAACCCACATGTCACGCCACACCGGGCCACACCCTTTTTTGGTCCTGAGCCCGAGGCAAAGCTCTTTTCTCTGGGATTGGTTGAGACAACCGGAGAGAGGGTGAGGATTCGAATAGGCCGTTTGATCTGTGAGGGCCTTGGCGAAGAGCGACACGGAAACTTGAGCCAACGGCGTGATAGAATTCAATTCGGTGCGGAAGCTTTTGGGTCTGCCGCAGAAAAAAGGCATGGGAACCCTCAGAGACTTCCCGTGAGTTCCCTTGGGCTTCCCCTCTACAGAAAAACAAAAGGGTACCTTCCGAGGAGATGGAGGGCGTAAGGAAAGGCCATGGACTCGCATGGTGACTTCAGGGTCCTTTCTTTCGATGCAAGTTGAAACGTCACGCGCGGGACTCCTCCGCAGGTTCAGATCTCAATCAAACACCTCCGCGTGATTCAAGGAAATCGCCTTCCCTTTGCGACAGCTCTGTCAACTCTGGCTAGCGCCGTAATAGGCTTTCCGAAATCAGCTTGCATGTCAATCTGAAAGAAAATGAGATGCAGCATCTTCAGACATGGCGGAAAGCCGGTTTTTCAGGCAACCTCCCGCCCTTTTTTTGTCCCGCGCACTTCGCTTCGCGCCCACTGGGCAGGGCTACGATGCTCCGGCAGCGGCTTCTGGCCTTTGGGTCTAACGTTTCTCCGCGTAGGTATCGGTCTCAGGGCTTCGGCGCTGGGCTTCCGAGTCCAACGGGAGCCACAAGGGAAATGGTGGGGTCTTGATTCGCACCAGAAGCCCATGTCGGATTCGATCATGCGAACTCAGCCAGGGGAGAGTCCCAGGCGTTGAACTCTTTGACATAAAAAGATGATGGCATCGGTCAAACATGCCGAATGCTGCAACTTCACTTAATGATGCATAAATCCAAAAAAAAGACACCAAAGTGTAGGAGTTGGGCAAGTCGCCGCATGTGAGTCACAATCAAAACCCGGTATTAACATGGTCTACCCAGAACCATGTAAAGGATCAAGAAGGCGGAATTCCGAAGCTATTTCTGGCAAGGGTTTTGATTGTGGCTCATGTTCGAAGCTCCCCTGGCCACTCTCCAGCGGCCGTTCGCATTTGCGCACGCGCGCCGCGCGTAAGACGCGGAGGGCGCGGCTCAATCCGAATCAGACCTTGCACAAAGGTCGTCAGAGTAGGGGAGGGTGGGGGGCGTTGCTGACCTCTACCATAGCATTGTGTGTATATATAAACAAATTTATTTGTAGATATATATATATATGTATATAGTGTACATATGTACTATCCCGAAGGCTGGCATGGAAGCATCCACTAATCCATTTTCCCGTCGCAGGAAAGAAACCTGGGAAAAGCAGGCAAACATCCCCTTCACAAGGATCAATTCATCTGAGAAGCTCAACCAAAACCTGACCACAAACTCCACATCTATCGCTTGGTTGCTGCAACGACCACTCTGCAAAAAGTGAATCACTTTTGCGGGTTTAATGGGAAAACAAAAACTGATTCCCCAAAAGGTTGAAGTCTAAAGATCCAACCCAACAGCACTCAAGATTCCAGCCAAGGAAGAGCCCTTTTGGACCCTCGAAGGCTGCTGCACTTGGGTCACATTGGGGGGGGGGCATCGCCGCAACTTATTCGCAGCCTCAACAAGTCTCAGTGCCCCGACAGATCGATCATCTCGGCCCGGGCCCCCTGGCCGTCTAAAAGTGTACATGCGAGTGCAGTCTGCTCACTCACTCCGTATTTTTTCGTGAAAATACATGTCCCTAGAAAACCGCCTACTTTTAGGGAGATTCCACTGATTCAATCAGGTCACCCTTCTTGCTTTGGATCATGTGGTTGGGGACTTGAATCCGCTCTGAGTGACTTACAGGGACAGTCGCCCACATCCAAACAAGAGAAAGCTCAAACCTGTGGGGGTCAAGCAAATTCAAGACGGACCTTGGGATGCTTCCAAAGTGTAACCACCTCCCAAACTGCCCCCCCACCAAACCGATGGGTGGCAACTCGCTCGCTCGCTCCTCGTTTGCGCCGGGGCCCAGCAGCAAAGCCAAATGAAGTGGAACCAGGTCTGTGCTTTGAAACCAAACCTCCATTTGATCAAGCCCCAACATGTGCAGTGATAGATTCCCTTCAACAGCGGAAAACAAAAAATAGTCTTCAGCAAATGGAAGTCAATTACCCTATGTTCATGGAAGAATGGACATATTTAACAATCGACAAGCCTGATTGCCCTGTAAATACCAACAAACAAGGATTGCCCATGGTTTCAATGTGGTGCAGGATTTCGTCCATCCACAGTATTGTCGCCCGCCCATCCGTGCAACACGGCGCTGTCGCCTCCTCCTCGCCCTCGGTGCCCCTCTTTTCATCCTGTGCCAGTCGAGAAATTTCGCGACGCGTCTCAAAGCATTGAGCCGTAGGTCTGGTACACGGAACACGGGCCCCCAAAACGGGTACCCTCAAAAAAAACACATGGCCATGCGCCAAAACCTGTACAATGAACCCACTAAAATCCCGACTAAATGCTGCAGATTGCTGTGTGGTTAGAATGCTGATTCTTCTGAGTGTTGCAAACTTGAAACAAAAACCGGGCAAATGAAAAACACGGACCAGGATGGACTCGAGCCACCATCGTCATGTGTGCAGACAAGCCTGTCCGACAACAATGACGCCTTATCCATTAGGCGACTGGTCCTTCTGCAAGGGAAGATATAAATAAATGTACATATGTGAATATATATATATATATATATATATATATATATATATATATATATATATATATATATATATATCTGTGTAATGCAAAAAAAAGACGAAAAAAGAAAGAAGAACAAAAAAAAGAAGAAGAAGAAGAAGAAGAAGAAAAAGAAGAAAAAGAAGAAGAAGAAGAAGAGAAGAAGAAGAAGAAGAAGAAGAAGAAGAAGAAGAAAAAGAAGAAGAAAAAGAAGAAGAAAAAGAAGAAGGAAAAGAAGAAGGAAAAGAAGAAGGAAAAGAAGAAGGAAAAGAAGAAGAAAATACAAGAAGGAAAAGAAGAAGGAAAAGAAGAAGGACAAGAAGAAGGAAAAGAAGAAGGAAAAGAAGAAGGAAAAGAAGAAGGAAAAGAAGAAGGAAAAGAAGAAGGAAAACAAGACGGAAAAGAAGAAGGAAAAGAAAGGGAAAAGAAAGGGACAAGAAAGGGAAAAGAAGGGAAAAGAAAGGGAAAAGAAAGGGAAAAGAAAGGGAAAAGAAATGGAAAAGAAATGGAAAAAAAGAAATGGAAAAAAAGAAATGGAAAAAAAGAAAGGGAACAAAAGAAAGGGAACAAAAGAAAGGGAACAAAAGAAAGGGAACAAAAGAAAGGGAAAAGAGGAAAGGGAAAAGAGGAAAGGGAAAAGAAGAAAGGGAAAAGAAGAAAGGGAAAAGAAGAAAGGGAAAAGAGGAAAGGGAAAAGAGGAAAGGGAAAAGAAAGGGAAAAGAAAGGGAAAAGAAAGGGAAAAGAAAGGGAAAAGAAAGGGAAAAGAAAGGGAAAAGAAAGGGAAAAGAAAGGGAAAAGAAGGGAAAAGAAGGGAAAAGAACGGAAAAGAGGGGAAAAGAAGGGAAAAGAAAGGAAAACAAAGGAAAAGAAAGGCAACCCCCTAATCCAGGCGATCACATCGCCAAGCGCGCCTTGACAGCGGAGATGGTCGACCAGGAGCAGTCCTGGGACATACTGGGGGGTTCTCAAAATAAGTATGGATCAAAATTAGTCACCACCAGGAATTGGACCGCAGATTTTCGTCCATGTTTCCATTTGCCAGGGCAAGCCATTTGGGGGTACCTATGTTTGACCCACAGCCAGATGGTGAACCCCCTGGTTGCTAGTTGCAGGGAAACCAAAAGGAAACCATTTTTTCTGAGTTTTAGGCGACCACCGTTCTAAGAAACACTGATAGAACCTAATCCTTCTGTGATACCGACGGCTATCCCCATGACTATTTGGTCACTTGTGAAGTGATTCCTTTGGCGTCACAGAGAAAATGAGGGCACCAACCCCCCCTTGCAGCCAGTTCTGCTTCCAAAGAAAGCCAAACTGAACCTATGAGGTTGCACCTGGCTTCACGACCATAGAATTCCAATAATCGGACAGAAGTGGATAGCCCAATCAACTGCCTCCGGCCAATGCAAAGCCTCGACTTCAACCCAAAGCTATTTCAACAGGACTTCCAAAGCATCCTTCCAAACACAACGCCACAATGTCCTTTTTAGCAAGGTCCTAAGACTTTCGCTTGAGTCTGCCACGCCCCCCATCTCGAAGCCGACCCCCCCCCCCTCACCCCCCCCCCCCACCCGGGCCCCGGCAAACAAAGAGGACCAACTCCGCCTCTCCCCAAGCCCACTGCCCCCGCCTCGTTGAAAACGATGGCCTCCACGTTCTCTTCTTCTCCGCGCAAAGTGTCAAGGATGCCCTGGACGCGTCTCCCACTCGCTCGTGACAGGCGCCGGCCGGCTGGAATAGGGGTTGGGCTCTCAACGGGCGTACCCCCAAATGGATTTCCCTTTAGTTTCCAAGTTCCCTAAGCAAGTTCCTAAGTTCCCTAGTTCCCGAAGCAAAGACACACACCCAGTGAATAGCAGAAATGGGCCGAGCGCAAAGAACTTGCGAAGTTTCGGCACAAGTCCCTAACAACTCGCAGAGCTCGGGTGCGCAAGCAAATGGCTGTGGGTCAAACATAGGGCAACCCGCAACCCCATGGGTGGCCCTGGCAAATGGAGACGTGGACCAAAACTCGCGTCTTTCTGGAGGTGCAACTCCTTCCATTTGCCTAAGGTCCTGGGAACAAAAAGAGTATTAAAAAATATGTCCAAGGAGTGATAATTAGTTCCCCCTGTACAACCAGCACGGGAAATTCAGAAGAAAAAAAAGCTCGTCTTTTTCAGCAAGTGGGAGATCACCCTTGCATGCTGCCGACCCCCAGTTTCACTTTTAGGGGGGGTGAGTGGAAACCCCAACTTGATTTCCCAAAAAGTTAAGGTCTAAAGATCCGTTGCCCAATAGCAGTCAAGGACCCATACCCCAAACTTTCGGGCACCGGCCTGCGCAAAGGGGTGCAGCACCACGTCGTCGGGTCTCAGTGCCCCGCCGCACACCTGACCAGGCCAAAATGGAAGAAGAGATCCTCCGGACGGGGGGGGTGCGTCGCATGTGTTTGTTCCCCAAACAGTTTACTGTGAGGGGTTCTAAATTCATTTAAAGTGACTCGCCTATTGCCAAGCCATAGCCTGAATGCCTGGCACGGCTCTCTGGATGGACGGGTTCATTTGTCTCCCTTTGTCTCCCTTCCGTTGTCTCCCGTTGTCTCCCAGCCTAGATGCCTGGCACGGCTCTCTGGGTGGACGGGTTTATTTGTCTCCCTTTGTCTCCCTTCATTTGTCTCCCGTTGTCTCCCAGCCTGGATGCCTGGCACTAAATGGACGGGTTCATTCGGGTTCATTTGTCTCCCTTTGTCCCAGCCTGGATGCCTGGCACGGCTCTCTGGGTGGACGGGTTTATTTGTCTCCCTTTGTCTCCCTTCATTTGTCTCCCGTTGTCTCCCAGCCTGGATGCCTGGCACTGGGTGGGCGGGTTCATTTGTCTCCCTTTGTCCCAGCCTGGATGCCTGGCACGGCTCTCTGGTGGACGAGTTCATTTGTCTCCCTTTGTCTCCCTTCATTTGTCTCCCGTTGTCTCCCAGCCTAGCCTGGTGCCTGGCACGGCTCTCTGGGTGGACGTGTTCATTTGTCGTCTCCCTTTGTGTTTGTTTTTTCCGTTTGTCTCCCGTTCTCGGGGTGCGTTTGTCTCCCAGTCTCCCGGCCTGGATGCCTGGCACAGCTCTCCAAGCGTTCCCAGCCTGGATGTCTGGCATTCATTTGTGTCCCTTCATTTGCCTCCATGTTGGTGGTTGCCTGGCACGGCTTTTTGGGTGGCGGGTTCATTCTCCCTTTGTCTCCCTTCATTTGTCTCTTGTTGTCTCCGAGCCTGGATGCCTGGCACGGCTTTGTGAGTGGATGGATTCATTTGTCTCCCTTTTTTCACTTTATTTCTCCCCGGTTGCCAGCCTGGATGCCTGGGACGGCTCTCTCCCAGCCTGGATGCCTGGCAATGATTGTGTGTTCTTGGTGTGTTCCAGCTGACCACATCGGCGCGTTCCAAGTGAACACGTTTCTTGGCAATGTTGGTTTCCAAGAGTTGGCACGGGTTGCTGCGATGGGCTTTGTGTGGCTTTCAAGGGTGTAATGTTGCAGTTCTTACTTAGTACTTGAAGCCAGCCCGCACGTTTACCTTCATCTGACGTGGCCTTAATTTGTCAAATCCACACAGATGGTCGCCGTGAGTCCAAAAAATACGGCGATGCCGCGCTAGCCGCGCGATAGCAAGGCGCTAGCGCAGTGGTCAGCTGTGACCGGTTGCCTCAGTGCCAATTTGCTTCCGCTCTCCTTGCATGCAATTACCATAGAATGCGATTTGCTGGACAAACGGGAGGCAAAACGGCAGGCAAGAAGGCGGATGCCTTGTACGGAGCATACGGCAGAATTGGGTTCGTGTTCCTCTGCGAAAGCATATGCTTTACTGAATCGATACGAAGCGAGAAAGAAGCGCACTGCGCCGGACAGCTTGTGCTAAGATGGAGCCTGTAAATGCTGGACACGCGCCCGATACTGATAGTATTAGCAGTAGTAGCAGCAGCAGCAGGCTTGCGCTAGCAATGTGTTGCAAAATTGCTAGATTGATCGTAAGCGAACACTACTTTCCTACTTGGAACACGCATATAGTGGAATAGCGCCTTAGGTGAACGCATGTGTGCTGCACAATTGTGTTGCACATGTTCCTCCACATGTGCACATACGTGTGTTCCATGTGTACACATCTGTATATGTGTGTTACAAGTCTCAGCACAGAAGGTTGTTCTGGTTAAACACCAGTGTTGCGCGTGAAGACAAATGCCTGTTCCAAGATGTATGCGTACACGTGAACCGTGTACACATTTGTGTGTTCACGTGTGCACACATGTGCGTTCCAACTGGACACGTGTTTGTGTTCCAGGAACACATGTTTGTTATCAGACGAACACGCGTGTGTGTGTGTGTCTGTTTGCGTGTACTTGCGTGTACACATATGTGTTTCCACGTGTACACATATGTGTGTTCACATGTACACGTATGCGTGTTCCACGTGTACACATTTGTGTGTTCACGTGTGCACACATGTGCGTTCCAACGACACGTGTATGTGTTCCAGGAGAACACATGTTTGTTATCAGATGAAGACACGTGTGTTCTCCGCATGCACATGTATGTGTGTTCACGTGTACGCATATGTGTGGTGTACACGTGTGCACACATGTGCGTTCCAACTGGACACGTGTTTGTCTTCCGAAAACACGTGTTTGTTATCAGACGAACGCGCGTGTGTGTGTGTGTGTGTGTGCGTGTTCCGGGTGTGCATATATGTGTGTGTGTGTTGACGTGTACGCATATGCGTGTTCCACGTGTACACAGTTGTGTGTTCACGTGTGCACACATGTACGTTCTAACTGGACACGTGTATGTGTTCCATGAGAACACATGTGTGTTATCAGATGAAGTGCTCCGCATGCACATGTATGCGTGTTCACGTGTACGCATATGGGTGTTCCACGTGTAGACATTTGTGTGTTCACGTGTGCACATGTGTGTACCGGACACGTGTTTGTGTTCCAGGAGAACACATGCATGTTGTCAGATGAACACGTGTGGGTCCGCTCCGCATGCGCATATATGTGTGTTCATTTGTACACATATGTGTGTTCCACGTGTACACATGTGTGTGTGTTCACGTGTGCACACATGTGTGTTCCAATTGGACACGTGTTTGTGTTTCAGGTGAACAGATGTGTGTTCCACGTGAACACATTACTATGTGCTAGGTGAACATGTTTTTGACCTGACGACATATTTGCTCTCCATGTGTACACATGTATGTGCTCCAGAAACCACATGATTGTTATCGAGGTGCGCGCATGTGTGTGTGTGTGCGCTTTAGGTGAACATTTATGTTTGCTCACGCGTGCACGTATTATGTGTGTTCCACGTGTGCACACATGTGTGCTTTAATCGCACACGCGGTGTTCCTGGACACATATTTGTGTTCCAGTGGTATACATGTGTGTGTGTCCCACATGTACACACATGTATGCTTTAATTGCACGTGTTTGTGTTCCAGGTGAACACACGTGTGTTCCACGTGTACACACAGGTGTGCCTGAATTGGACCCACGTTTCATCGTGTTCCAAGTGAACACATGTGTGTTCCACGTGAACACATCAGCGTGTCGTAGGTGAACACGTATTTGTGTTCCAGGTGTACACGTGTGTGTGTGTGTGCTTTGCAAGAAGCACCCGTTGGTTTTCCAGTTTAACGCGTGTATGCGTGTGCCGCATGTAAACGTATATGTGTGTGTTCACGGGTGGATATCTGCGCGTGCCGCGTGTACTGTTTCAGTCGTATACATATGTGTGTTCCACATGTACACACACATGTGTGTCTGAATTGGACATGTGTGTCTGAACTGCCCATGTGACCGCGCGCTTGCGCAGCCACACTTGCGTTCAGCGCGCTTGCCCAACCTCAGTTCCTGCGCGGTGCTGAAGCGCGAAGCGGGCCAGCAACACACTTGCAGCAACGCAACGCGTTCCGGGTTCTGTTGAAGCGCAAAAAGCCACAAGCTGTTGGCATGTATGTGCTTGCCCGTCAGTCCTCAACTGTTTGGGGTCTCTGCTGGTGTAATTTGTTTTCTTTTCTCCCCCTTTTCCTGTTATGGTCTTTCTTCCTTTTTTCGGGGGGATCCCCTCAAAAAAAGAGAGGTTCTTTTAGGGGCCCCTAAGAAAGGCAGAGATTGTTCAGGGACCTCTTAAGAAAAACCGAGCGTTCGCCCGATAGAAATGCTGAAAAATCTGGGCTTTGGGAATCAAAAAACACCGCCGCTCATCCCCCGCTCCCCGAAAAACATGGCGGCTGTCCTAGCGGTTTCCCTTTTAGAAGTGATGCTCCACTCGCCGCCGCCGCGGCCGCCCCCCCCGCCCTTCACAAGTATGTGTTGCAAACTATTTGTTCATTGCTGCAAAAAGACGGCCAGCCCGCGGCAAAATACATCGGAATAGAAGATAAAGACACGCTTGGCGCATTTTTCTCGCAAGATGGGAACAGCCGAACAGTCAGCTGGATGGATTCCTTTTACCGGCCCTTCAGCCTTCAGCTTTGTGTCAAACTGCAGGAGTTCTGACGCTCAGGAGAGCATCCTCCCGGCCTTTTGCCACCTTCCCCGCTTTTATGTTTGGAGTAGCCGAATCGCCAAAAGACCCCAAGAAATGTTTGGCTGCAAGACTCAATCCATCACACCTCTCGTCAAAAACAACTCCGCCCGATGCATTCGAATCCCTCAGCCCGTGGCAGGACAAGTCCACCGCTTGTCGAGGGACCTCATCCTCTGATTCACAGCAATATACCTGAACAGGAAGATCACGATCACTCGACTTCGGACACGACTTCTGCACATTGGATCTTTGCCCCCCCACCCCATGTTTGTTCGTGTGGCACACCGGTCATCCGTCAAGCAGAAATCGCGTCAACACCGGACAAGCGCTACAACTACACCCTGCAAAACCCACACAAACTGAACCACGCACCATCTGGCTGCTTGCGGAAATGGAAAAAAGTCGCCGGCGAGGTTCTCGCGTCCGAAAAACCTCCCGGGCTCCCGACGAGTTCAGGTCGAACACCTGGATATGGTGGCACTCGCGGCCAATCGCCGCTTCCTGCGGCCCGAATCGTTTCGTCCACGCCGCGACCGAAAATTCGTTCGGCGCGGGGCTCGGCTTCTAGCTAAAAGCCGCCGAGACTTGGTGGCTGCAACGACCCCTCTGCAAAAAGTGTTTACCTTTTTGGGGGTTTAGTGGAAAACACCTTGAAAAGTTAAAGTCTAAAGATCCAACCCAATAGCAGTCCAGGATAGCGGCAGCTTCCCGTTCCTTCAGATTTGGACTCAACCACCCCAAGCGAGGGGCATCGACCAAAACAATCATACCTATGACGAGTCCTCGATGGGGCAGTGGGACACTGGACACAGCGGCCTCGGCAAAGGCAGAGAGGAGCCTGTCAAACTGTTGTTTGTGTCCTTCCTTTGAACCAACAGCCATCGCTTTGGTGTTTCTCCAAATGTGACATAAAACGCCAAGAATAGTGGCGTCCCGTGGTTTCCCTTTCGAACAACCACAAGAAGGTAACCTCAAAGAAGCAACTGCCTTGGACACGGAGATTTGACTGGACGTCCGGGGTCAACGCCGGCCATCCCAAGGTGGCTCACCAACGCGGACCCGGCAGAGCTAAGATGGAAGAATATGGATGTCTCTTGAGGCGACCCAAAAAATGATATCGGCTTCCCCTTGCAGCCACAAAAAAAACAGAAAGCGGCACGGAGGTGCCAAAAAGGCAAGGGATCCGAGAAAACTTACATCCATTTTGGGGGGTTCCCCTCCACAAAAGACGAGCCTCGGGGAAAAAAAGAGGAAAAACACGGGGGCCCTCCGACTCCGGGCTCTCGGCTTCAGGGTCCGTCCGAAGTTTCCTGTGACCGCACACTCGTCCTGGACAAAGCGGACAGCCGAGCCGACCGGCTCTCGGTCGGTCAGAAGTCGCGGTGCGTCTCGATCTGTCTCATGTCTCGATCGTTTGAGCCCTAGGCTTCCCACATCCAATCGGTAGCATGACTGGCAGTTCGTTGTGCTGGTTGCTGGTTTCTGGTTGCTTTGGGTTTGCTTGCGTGACTTTGCTGGTGGCTCTGTGTCTGCTTTTTTTTCTCGGGTGGATTGGGACAAAGGCAAAGGCATGACACCGGCACGGCGAAGAAGAAGCCAGCGAGCCGCGGAGGTCCATGGCAACATGCAATCCGAGCCCGGAACAAAGAACAAGACGAGCAAAGCTGCTCGCAACTGTACGCACCGAACAGCAATTTCCCCGGTCAAAAGGCCGAAACCTTTTTGCCAAAGGGGCCAAGAGAACATGGCAAAGAGAAACTGAGCCTGATTGCGCTGCTCAGGTCTTGCCACAGCAATTCACATCTTGGAGAAGCGCTCATGCAAACGTCTGGCGTCCCTAAGCAACTTCGACGGCTTCGGAACCGGTACCGAAGCCGCGGCCTTTTCGTGGCCACTCTCTGAACCCGCACCCAGAGCACCACTCCAAGCAAGGAGTCCTCTTGCCCCGCTTCCATTCTGGCCACCTGACCGCTGACGACGCCAAGCTTGGCCGCTCCGGACATCGATTGAGCACTTCAATCCAAGTCAAAACGAATTGGGGGCCATTGGATCCAAAAGGGTCGACCATAGGATCTTCCCTTGCGAAAGAGCAGCACGTCCAGTGCCTACCCTCCCACTGTTTGGACGACGGGGGTGAGATCACAGAATTTAGATCCATCTTGAAAACCAAGTGAAGTGGCTTTGCCAGGAGGGTAGGCTTCCATTTGCCTTGGCACCTGCTGCCACTGGCCCAGCAAAGACCGGTTTTCGGCCGTGAGGCTTTGTTCACCCCGCGTCTCAAACAAACCAAAAAGTCGGAACAGCCTCCGATGCACCCCGATGAGTCGTGGAACAAGCGGCACGGGCTGAACCTGGCAACCTTGCAACCTGGAGACCCCATGTCACACCTCGACCTCATGAGCTGAACTCTCACCTCTGCGCCTGCCTCATTCGCATGCCAAACTCCGACTGAAAAACGGATCGGACGGTCGAGCACCCATCAAAGGACCTGCGCCAGAAGCCGTTCCACGCGAGCTCGGCCGGAACTCACCGTCTCTTGCGACCTCAAGCGGCATGGGCTGAACTTGGGAGGGGGCTGATGGATCTCCGAATCCGGCTGTAGAAATGAGGCGCTTCCGAACTTCCTGGCGCTGTGGAAAAGAAACCGAGGAAGTCCCGTGCGGCGTTGTGCTCCCTGTCACGCCTTCCCAGATTCCGCGGCATGGACCATTTCTGCGCGGAGCTGCTCACAATTCCATCGAAGGGGCCACACATATTGTACCATTAGCTCATATGATTCTGTTGCAGACTGGGGCGTGGCAAGCACGAACTTGTTCGCGGCCTCTCTGCAACCACTTGCCCTGACAGCCTCAATGACACTCAGTTCAGAAGCCTATGCTGAATCCTCTCGCAGCCGGCCGCCATGAATGCCGAACATGGGAGCTTCCAAAAAATGCCACGGCTCGGGCTCGCTCCCAGAAAGGCCTTGAGGGAAACCTGCCCTTACCAGTCCTGCAGCCCATGTCCACATGTGCATAGTTCAAACAAGCGCCGCTTCCCGGCCATCAAAAACTACCATGCACGCGTACACGGGTTTGCAAAAAAAACTCCGAAGCCTCGCCTGGACCTGAACAAACACTCGCCCCAATCAAGCTGCCAAGTCCTCTTGACCTCAGATGAGTCGCAATCAAAACCCGGTATCAAAATGGTCTACGCAGAACCATGCAAAGAATTACCAAGCCGGAGTTCCGCAGCTGTTTCTGGCTGGGATTGTCCAATAACAAACCTTCATCAATCCCCGGGTTCTTTGAGCACGCGGCTCAGATAGACCTGTCCAAAAGAAGCCCACCCTCAAGTCATGACCTCAGACCTTCGCTCCGCGGCCGGCCCGGACTTTTTCCACCTCCCCACCAGGCCCACGCACCGGGCGCGTATTCTGGAGATGATGGAGGAGACAGACCTGCCACACGAAAACGGGGGCCGGCGGGTCTCAAAACGAGGCAGGTGGGTCTAAAAATGGGCAGGTACCGGGGAAATCCGGGAGAATAATTTGAAGATGAAAAAATACGAGGCCGCGTTGGAGCTTGATGGAGACAAAGTCAATCTTTGGTAAGGGCCGAACACCGAGCCGAGTCTCCCCTCCGCGGAATTGCCTCAAGTTTTGTGTGGAGGAGCCCCTAGAGGATAAAGCCACTCCTGAACCTTTCCAGTTTCTAAGGAAAAGAAAACACGCCTACACCCCCAAAGGACCGCCCTCGACCAACAAAAAGACCTAAGTCACTTAAGTCCCCTGAGTCCCCCCCCCCCCCCCCAACCACCAAGCCCGCCGCGCGCTTCTGCCGCCTCCGCCCATTTTCCGCCCCTCCGCCGTCGTTGGGCGGAGCGCCGTCCCCCCGCAGCTTCGGCGAGGGGGAAGGCGATCCGAGCGAGGCGCAACGCGGCCGATCGGGCCGACCCCTGAAAGGGAAGGCTGGAGACGGTTGGGTTGATGCATTGGAGGGGGGGGGGTTCTCGCAAACAGGCGGGGTTGCCCTTTGAAGGACGGCTTTTTTGGGTGGATCCCTCGAAAAGTTGGAGGGACTCTTTTGGCAAACTGGCTGGGCGGCTTTTTTGGGGATGGGCAGGTGGGAAATGGAATCCACTTCTGTGATACAAACAAAGGGCCTCCCAAAGACCAACCCCCCATATAAAGAGGGGATTCCCTTGTATCACAACAGTGGTTGGATAAACCCCGAGTGATCCCACAGCCCTTGGGTGAGCTGGATAGATTTGTTCTTCTTCGCGCGGACCAACCGAAACCGGAGAAGCTGCCCCGGTGACTTTCGCCACCCCGCCCCCAAAGCTGCTCGGGCGTGGAGCTCTAGATGGGTGGGGAACCCCCCGCTTTCCTTTTTGGTGGTCCCAATATAAACTGCCAAACCGCTCTAAAAAAGGCGAGCCACCCAAATGGACGTTTCCACAATGCCAACCTCTGAGTGTCTTCAACTTCCTATTTGGTTTCACGGCGTCGCGAAGACTTCGCATCACTCGTTCCACATCCACGCCTCAGCCAAGGGGTCTTCAACCGCTCAATCTGCCGATCCCCCCCCTCGGGCCCTTTTTGGCCTTCGGCCAACTTTTTGGCCCCAAACAACAAACTTGTCACGACACACCACGCAAAGCAACCAAAAGGGGCCCCTCCAAAAGGGCTTCGCGAGGTGGCCTCTCATCAAGGTGGTGGAAGGCTTCTTGAAGGAGAGCTCGGAAGAAAAGCAACAACACACACTTAAACTCCAAATGGAGAGTGCTAATCTTTCGAGTACAACTGATGAGTCTCGAGTACAACTGATGAGTCTCGAGTACAACTGGGGACAAACCCCATCGGCTTGCTGGTCACTTGGCTTCCCTGTAGTTACTTCAACAGGGAAACAAGGAAGCAACAGCGGTTCAGGGGGGGACCAAAAGGACGTTCAGAGCATCACGACTTTCTCAAATTGCAGGTACGTCCAGAAGGCGTCCCTTCCGGATTTCACGATCAAACCATCACTGTCTTCGTTGGGCAGTGAGTGATGGCGATCCACTGCCCCCCTGCTGAGAAACCGAAAGGGTGGTGACAGGGTATTCTGTCACTCCGCACACACACGCCCCTCAATGAGGGGCGAGGAGTCTCCTTTTCCGCAGGAAGATCACATGCTCAACCCCGTGTCCCTATCGTTGACCAAAAAATCCACCGCGGCGAGGGGAACGAGAAACAGCCCTAAACCGCTCAGAAGACGGGACCGAGAGATCACCACGTTGAGCATTACGAGTGTCGCCATAGAGGACTGAAGCGAGTTGTGAAGCAGTCGAGCGATCACCATGAGAAAACGGAGTAGCATAGGTGAACGCCTCCTCAACTGGAATGGCATCGGAATTCCGAACTTCACCAAGAGATTGATCATGCGAATGATGAGTTGTGAAGGACTCCATTCGAGACAGAATGCGCTGGTATCCCTGATGCTGCCAGTCGCGGATGGTCCATGCCTGACCGTGCTCACCAGTGCGCCCATTGGGATCAGTCACCCGCTGCCATTCCCGAAAAGAATTGTCTGGTAGATCAGGTACAGTTTCTCCGTGGCATCGCTGAGGCTGTCCTGCAGTGTAGATCCGCACCCACTCCTGATCCTGCCAGACCGAGTATTCGAGCCATGGGTACTGCTTCGAATCCTCGATGTCCATGTCGAAGTAAGAGGCAAGGCGTATCGCGGGCTCCGATCCAGCTGATAGAGGAACAAGCACCATGCACAACCATGTACAAGCAACAACCAAGCAAGGTAATGCAAGTGTGAAAACCACCCTTATTTTGTACGCTACCCCACTCGCGTGCGTCTAGTCCTCATTTAGCTCGAAGATAGGTCTCGCCTTGGCTTTGCAGCTGTCGGAAGGATTAACAGGCCGGTATGGTTCGGAGACCCCAACCGTCTCCGATGGTGTGATTCCACGTGATGCACGTACAGGTTGATGAAGTTGGGAAGCGTGACGTGCGCGAGCTGTCAGTTGTTGAGAAATCCCCTCTTGGAGACGAGTCAGTTCTTCGGTAGAGAAATCCGCCGCATCCGAGGATCTAAGGATCGCTGCGGTGACATACTCAATGCCGCGGATTGCGTGGCCACGCTGTGATGATCAGGAAAAGACATAGAATCAAAGTCATGACCAGCTTGAGGGGCAGCGACTCTCCGATGGCCCTCTGTGGCCCAGTTGGGAGCATAGAACTCCCTCCACTCTCTATACGTGTGCGGTGGAGGTGGAGCATCATGTTCTTCATGTGGAGTCCATGATCCCGGATGAAAGATCTTGACCCACTGGGCATCTGGTTGTTGAGGATCCGGACACCATTCAGCCACGGCATGACAACGCAAACCCGGAAAGACAAAATGATAGGTACGGCTGCAGACAACAATTACTGAAAGAGACACAACTACCACAGTGCAAGAAATCACTTTTGCAGCAATGCACGGCTCCGGTATCGAAGTCAATCTCCCGAATCGAATTGAACTGAACAGACTCCCCAGGAAGGCGAGGACGAGCATCAGCCACCATCCGAGTTGGAGGATGCCGATGAAGAGGTCAATCCAGCGTACATGAGGTCCGGTGCGCCCGAAGCGAGAACTGGCCGCGCAATGCTAGGGTGTGGGCGACCCAGCCGTTGGTATCCCCTGGTGACCCAGTCTCTATAATGCCAAGTATAGAAGGATGCATAAGATACCGGCTGCGAAACAGCACCTGTATTGGTGCCGCCTGTGCTATCCCTCGGCCAATACACTTCGAAGTGGTAAACCTTGCGCCATTCCCGATAGGTGGTTGAGTCATCCGGGGCTGGTCCCAAGGTGTTCTCGGCGACTGGATGCCACGGACCCGGTACATAGATCCGAATCCATTCTACACTCGTATTCGCGGGGCCATTGACGATGTCGTAGTCAAAGTAGCGAGGCAGGACCCATCGTGCTGCGCTATACATTGTACAATTGAACATATCAACCAGGTAAACCGCTCAGAGTCAAATGAAAGCGGCGAACAGCTGGAGACGGAACGCACAACACCAAGCAAGACAACCCAACATGGAATCGCATACAAAGCAAGCACAACCGCGTCATTTTATCCGACATGTTGCTCAAGTATCACTCCGAATCGTTCCAAGGATCATAGAATGGTGGTGGTGACGGCTCTCGCCACGCCCCCCGGAACCGATGAGCCCACCGAGGAATTGGCGTCTGCATTCACGAGCATCGCGAGTCCAATGGCTGGTAAAGGAGCTCCAAGTCGTTGATACCCTCGTGTTTGCCAGTCTCGGTACTCCCACACGTGGTAGGACACATACGAACTGGGCGTGACAATGGGATCCGTTGTTGTTCCTCCGGTGCTGTCTTCGGACCAGTACACTTGGAAGCGATATGACCTGCGCCACTCCCGATACGTGGAAGCGTAGACTGGGTCGAGCACTGGAGCATCATCGGGAACGGGTCGCCACGTGCCCGGTGAGTAAATTCGAATCCATTCCACTCCTCTGTCGATCTGGTACTCGAAATATTGAGGGTTCATAGCGGCAAGACAGGCTATCGCGCGGCCGCTAAAAGCAATCGAAAATCTGCGGCGAAGACACACATGCAATGACAACCGCGCGCCGCTGAAGGGATGCAAGGCAACTTTTCAAACTCAAGGTGAGACACAGCAGCGAGGTTTGTAATATACGACGCCTAAGCTTCACCGCCGTTGATGCCGCGCACACCTGCAATGATAATGTCCTGGTCGTCTACGATCACAAGGGGAAAGACATTTCCGCCCATTGCGCAGGAAGGCATGACAGTAATGCTTACAATTTGCCGATGGGGACAGCGATGGACGGCCAGCACGTTTGGAGGGGAACACGGTAAAGGGCCGCCGAGATCTCCGCGGTGCCGAAGCGGATGCTGTCCGAGATCGTTTGGATGAACGCCCTGGGCTGCGTAGCTCTTCATCACGGGAATGGTCAGTGCTGTAGATCGAGCGGCGTGTGCGCTGCGATTTCGATGTGGCAGGGCAGGATTGTCCGCGAGGAACTGAGATCGAGGGGCTCCGTACTGAGGGCATAAACTGTGGGTGTAGAATCACCGGTGGTGGTGGCGGTGGAGGAGGCGGAGGTGGAAGAAGCAGTGGGAAACTTGGTGGGGGCGGAGGTGACGTAGTCTGCCGACTGGGTCTGTCAAGCAGGGCTCCAGGTCCGTGAAATTGTAACCACGTCGGCTGCGCTCCATGGGTCCAAGTAATGTACGTCTGTACGACTTGTTCCGACATGATTTGAGCAACTCAGTCATGCATTCAATTCACGTCAGCGGCAACACCCACAACGGCAAGCAATATTACCCTGGTAAAATGCCAGTCAAGCGCAAGCAAGCAAATTTCATGTGATCAGTAATGACTGCAATCCCAACCGTCGCAACAACCTGCAGCGCTAACCGAATACAC